CATCGACCAATGGCGAAGCATGATGGGAGCCTCCTTTAGTTCTGATCACTTTTATTGAAATGTGTAAATACAGTTCACCCAGGAAACGATGAAACATACCGAGAGACCTGAACATATGTTTTTTTTAAAAGCGTAATTATTAAATAAAATTTTCGCCTTTCAGCTTTTGGAGGTAGGACTATATAATTTTATTTAAAAATAGAGTGAATTAGTTTTAACTCGCGACTCACATACACACATTGCACTTAGCACCGCAAACATCTCCGCCTCCACCGCCACTGTCGCCTCCACAATCAGGGGCCATTTAGGGATCATTTAGGGGTTGTTTTGGGGTCAATATGAGTATTTATCATGTGATGTTTCGATACCTCCATGTGATTGGTTAGCTGCAAACTCGTGGCATATCAGTGATTGGCTGGTATATGTCTCCACAATATATTAATGTTACAGTAGGATTCGTTCAAATTCAATATGATGCCATAGGGCTTGCACACTGGTATATTATAAGCAGTAGGGAGGTATGCTGAGGGGTTTAGTTTGACAGAAACTGAGTGGAAGATGGAATGTCTCAGTTAAATTCCGCCTCTTCACAAAGATTTGTCACGTGTTTTGGTTTTTTAGGTCATTCAAGGTCATTGTGTCAAGGTCAAGGTAGTCTGCATCTAATATGGTGGTGTTAGTAATGTATTATGCTTGTTTAATTTAATGGATATTTTCAAGTGTTGTTTTTATTTTCAGTGTCATTCAAGGTCATGGGGTCAAGGTTATGCTCATTGGCTTCGAATATGGCGGATGGGTGATGTATACCAAGATGGTGGCCGCCTACCAAGATGGTGATCGCCTACCAAGATAGTCATCACCTACAAAGATGGTGATCGCCTACCAAGATAGTCATCACCTACAAAGATGGTGGTCGCTTACCGAGATGGTGGCCCTTCAGTAATGTATAAAAAATGACGAACGAAAAATATAAAATGGCGGAATGAGTCTTAGTGAGGGGTGTGGGAATGAGGGAGTCAGTCGTCTGCTGGAGTGGAACAGATGCGAGTAATTGGTAATGCTGGGGTCCTTTTGAAATTAAGTTTTTTTTTTTTTTTTATGAGTTTTTAAATATTTTTCAAATAATTTTTAATAATATATTATTTGTAATTTTGAAATTTTTCAAAATTTTTTTGTGTTTATGACGTTCAATGTCATTCAAATTAACGGGGTGAAGATTGAGTTAGTCTGCATCTAATATGGCAGATGTGTGATGGCTACTTAGATGGTGGTCCCCTTGTAAGATGGTGTAATGCATATGGGTTAAGGGTGACCTCTGGTAAATTTAAGTACTTTTAAAATTATTTTTAGTAAATTATAATAATACATTTTAACTCATATTTAATAATAAACGTTTTGGGATATTTTGTGAATTTTTTGAATATTTTGGATTTTTGGGTTAAAGATCAAGGTCAAAATCCATAGGTCCTGCTCTCATGACTCATGCGTCACTGATCCCGGTCTCCTGTCTGACCCTGAGTTGCCAATCCCTCTCGTATGCTCCGAAAATATATATATATATATTTTTTTGGGATTTTTAGAAAAAAGAGGAACATTTTTAGGAAAAAGGGCAATTGTTAGGGTATTTTGATCGATTTTGAGGCAAAAATGGGAAGTTTGAGGGAAAAGTGAAAATTTTGAGGGAACAGACAAGGAAATTCCAACATGAGGGCCTCCAGCTCTTGGCTCCTGTGCCCGAAGCCCTTATGCCCAGTCGGCTACATCCTACTACTCATAATTACCTTTTTTGTTCTTTTGTACAGAATTTGTTATGGTGAATTTTGTGTGGCCAGGAAAATTACCAGTCGTTGACAAATTATTACAATTGTAACAGAGAGCAATAGAGATGGTGTCAATTCCAATTTTTGAATAAAATACCAATGTTTTTATTAAAATAGTATCAATTTTTGCTAATGTCTGAATAACTTACAGTGCATAATTATATAGGATTTGCTGGTATTATATGATCGTATGGATATGTGTTATGACAAGTAATTTCTAACAGACGCCAAGGCATGGGGTAAACAGTAGTTTCAAAAGAAATCACTAAAGGAAAAAAACACGTAAAATTTTACCCTATAAGGCGTATTTTATACTTAAATTATAGGACTCCCAATCACTAAATAAGATTACTAAAGAATTTGTCTCTTATCATGTATCATGTGTACATTATAGCTGCCATAGGTACACATCATGTGCGTGTTTATATATATATATATAACTTTTCAATACAACGTGAGAGTTACATGGGAATAACAAGATATTTCCACGACACTGAAATTTTTTAACATAACAAAGTACACTATAGCCAAAAAGATATTGGGTACCCGTGAAGATAGGTAATACAGTACATCAGTTGACTTGTGTGGCCGCCATACGTCACAGACCGGTGTAGAACAATTTGACAAGAAGATGGTACGAGGTACAGACCTATCGGACTTCAATAAGTGCGTGATTGTGGGCTGCCTTCTAAGTGGGCTGTCTAGCCGGGCGATTGAACGAAATGTAAACAGGCCCAAATCAACGATAGCATTCGTCCTGCGTAAGTGGATGGTCGATGGGAATTGTGCCAATGCTGCACGTTCTGGGCGACCTCAAATTTTGACCGACAGAAATGGCAGAACACTGAAACGTGAAATTGTTTAAGGTTTCCATTGGAGCATTGCGTACAGACGCCCACCGACTTGGATATTTCGGAAGAGCAGCTACACATAAGCTCCATATCACGACAAGCAATAAAGCTCGGCGACTCAGGTGGTGTTTGGATCGTCTCAACTGGACACTGGAGCATTGGAAATCGGTTCTGGGAAGTGATGAATAGAGGTTTATATTATTCCGGTCCGATGGAAGTGTATGGGTGTGGCGTCTACGCGAGGGACGACTTCTTCTGGAGTGTATAGCGCCAACTAGGAAATTCGGTGGTGATGGAGTGATGGTGTAGTACTGTGTCACGGCCATCGCCGTAGGACCGCTGGTGTTTGTCCGTGGTAGCATGAAGACAGAGGCCTATTGTAACATTCTGGATAATGAAATGCTCCCAACATTGTGGCGTCCTTACGGAATGAACCCGTATTACTTCCAGGATCCCAATGCCAGGTGCCATGTTTCAAGGGCTGCTACTATGCAGTGGTACGCCGACAACAATGTTCGTGGATTGGACTGGCCCGCTCAGATCCCAGACCTCAACTCTATAGAACATCTTTGGATCGAATTGGATCGCCGGCTCAAAGCTCGTCAAGCGCGGCCAAAATCCATTGCTCAGCTCATAGAATGGTTGCAAGAGGAATGACGACGAATCCCTGTGGATGTCCTACAAACACTCGTAGAGAGCATGCCAGACAGGGTGGCTGATATTATAACCGCAAGAGGTGGCCCTACGAGATACTAACGGGGTGGCAACCACCGAGCAAACATTGGGGATAGGTGCCCAATTTTTTGGTCGATAGTGTATAATGCTACCGACACGTACGGGGACAAGACGTCCGGATTATTGCGGATATGTCCTCTTTTGTATGCATTTGCCCGGGTTCCTGGCTGATTTTTAGGAAATCGGAAAAGTCCTCATTTTTTAGGGTCATCCATCATTTTTTTCCTGTGGTTTTCCCCTTTTCGAAATTCAGTAAATGGAAACAAAAGTCAGCAGTTACCATGTAGGCTCAGTGTGGCCAACTTTAAAGTAAATTATTGCTACAAGCAGAGAATGGTGATGTCTGAGGGGCGTATCTGAGTTTGTAAGGGATGGAGGTCATAATGTTAAATAAAATAAATAAAATAAACTAAATTCGATCTGTAATTTATTCACTCTGCTACTATGTACAACATCAATTAGCTGTCTCCGCTTTTACTCTTTCTATTCAACAGTGAGCACACTATTGAATTTTATTTCAACTTTAATTAATGTCCTTAATATCTTTCATACACATTATTAGAATGCGTTCAGTCTGTTTCCACAATTATGATGTCTTTCACTCACGCACTTGATCCAATAGTCCAGGCTCCAGCCACGTCCTTCAAAATGTTGACACTTGCTGTATCCAACTTCCCTTCCTCACAGCTGAGGAATTATGTCAGTCATCCATTAAGGCACACCAACTCAATAACACCCCGGCCACGAGACCCGTCACAATTAAATAAAGTCAGAGCGACCAGCTGTAATATCATCAAACCCCAAGCCGCGCAGAGAGCCTAGGTCAGTAATCCTGGGCATCCTGCGATAAACGAGGAAAATTACCACAACCAGAGTAACACAGCATCATGCAGCAGAACATTATTTTGCCGGGCTGGCTTTGAAACAGATACAACGCCGTCTGATCGCCTGTCGCAGTTATCTCATAACGACTTATCATCCTCGCTCACACGCGCCGGGTGAGCCAAGGACAATTGCGCAGACCCACTCGCGCTACGTAACATTATTTATAACTATATATAAATGATGCATATATTAAGGAGTACAATTTATATATTTTCAACAAAACTCAGATAAATATAGAAAACCTCTTAATTGTTTGTGATGTACAGGTATTCGTAGTTTGGGTTTTAAGGTTTTATAGTTTTAATTACATTGCACATACGTGAACACACACGCCAAGGAATATCATTATTTTATGAAAAAGGCATGAATATAATGCCGAATGTAAAGTTTGAGGTGCTAAGTAACCAGCCTTCCGTAAAAGAAACCACGATTCAATTTATTATAATATGGTTGTGAAATTACTATAATCATGAAATTATGTAATCAATTTGTGTTCAACTGAAACCTTAAGGGATGGGTTACGAAAATGCGCCATTTCCAGCAATAATATGTCTATAAGAACTAATATGCTTGTATATGTAAAAAATCACACTTAATTACAATGACGTGATGTTACAAGGAATCATTTAACAGGATCTACTAATTGCAGCGATTAGTACAGTGTGCAATGACATTTATAAAACAGGTTTCTGTTCAACTTGATACTACTTCCTCGGTGGTATAGTGGTTGGTATTCCCACCTGTCATGCGGTAGATCGGTGTTCGATCCTCGCCGGGGAGTATACGCATTTTTATACATCGTTCAGTGCAAGTAATGAAAATAATCACTGTTCGTAGTTGATGTGTTGGATGGATTCCACGGAGTTCGTATAAACAATAATCATCGTCAGGAAAAGCTGGGTTGAAAAAAAAATAATTCGTGTCTCTTTCAGTAATAATTTAAATTACATCGATTTTGCCCTAATGCTCAAAACTAATTATAGAGTAATATTATGAATAATATGTATATTAATATTTTCCGTAGTGCAAAGACACAAATAATTGTATATTTTAATAACGAACATTTTTCTAACATAATATATTTTACATAAGTCCTGTATAGTAAAATATTGCCAGATGCGTATTATGAACATAATAACAGTTTGTGTACTTTATTTTATGTGTGCGATAGTCTGGAATTGAATTTACAGTGATTTTCTTTATTTTATAGTGTAGTTAATTTATAAACGAGGGTACATTTTTTCCATAAAAATTTTTTATATCTTTTTAGTAAACATTACTATTTCCGTCTATGATCGGAAGCAATTAAAACGGATATATACGCTTATACCTGATATATTAATTTTTAATCAGTTATTTAATGGTTTTAGTCCTAAATTAAAGCCAATAACTTAATATTTTTCTGACTTACATAATATGTAACGTTAGATATACACGGAATATTGTAACACAAATAAAAAATTCAAATTACTACTGAAAATTGGCGTTAGCAAGGAAAGAATGTGGCATCTTTTGAACTTACAAAGCTTTCCGGTGTAATACCTGGAGGAATGACGTAAATAAATCTGTGTCTCTGACCAGAAAATATTATTGGTTTAAGTTATAAAATCTTGTACAGGAAATACAATCGAAGCGTAATTTCCACAAAGAAGATATTTTCTTATCAGCCATGTGGCACGTTGATGAAGATCTCCTAGGTATACCATTTGCAAAATACTGCGAGGCTTTCAGTTCTTCATACATACTTTGACCGTGAAATAGGTACGCCATATGGAAAAAAACAAATGTATCACAGTTTAGGCTTAACAACACCACAGCAAGTAGGAAGCAGTAAGACAGTTAATGTGCTTCTTCGGAGCTGACTTCCTGGAACTTCATTACTCAACTCTGTAATCTATACTGTTTTCTCATGGCACCATTGTGTAGTGAGGAAGTATCCAGCATATTCACCATCACTTAACTTTGTAAACGTTGGAGTATATACAGGAAATTTTTAAACGATACACGAACAGTAATTCAGCAATAGAGATATTTTTCGTTATTCCCTGTACATTTCTCTTAAATAAGTTCTTGCTTCTCAGCAATATATATCGGCTAGTTTTACCTGCCTGAAATAGTTTCTCTAATTATTTTGTATTCCACATAATACTTCTCAAAAGATATCTAGTGTCACTATATATAATAAGATAAATTACGGATTTCGGCACGATGAAATAAACACAGTGCATGTTACTGAGCAACATGTTAAACGACAAACTATTAATTGTAGTTATGATTGCAGAGACGTGAGTAAAAGAGAATTCCGTATTTACATATCACTGAAGGTATTCTTTAAGTGAATATTTAAACACATTTCTTTTTGTTTAGTCCACATTAGAACATCATGTGCTGTGTACTTTTAAATATACAAATAAATGCCAACCAGACGAGCCATTTCTTCTCATCAATTGTTGGACGATGTAAGCATATGGTCGCTTCTATGATGAAAGATTATCTTCACCATCTTAATGTTTACTATGGTACCAATGCTGTCACACACTGTGAAAAGACACATAACACAAAAAAATATCATGCAACTAATCATCACATCTTCAGTGTGTTGGTCATTAAAAATTTCCTAAAATAATTATAGTTTAAAGGTTTATTTCACTGTAATTGAGTGTTTCTAAAAAAAAATATTTTTCGTGTCGCAGGAAAATAAACACGACAGAACATCAAAATTAACTTAATAGTGACTCTGACTATGGAGGTTTTCATCCTTCCCACTGCACCTTAGTTCCGTGTATGGCCACCAAGTGCATTATACAGGACCATAACATGCCTCGTCATGCTTGTAATCTATGTGTTGTCATCTTCCGGAAGAAGTTCCCATTCCATCAGGCCAGCCCTTATGAGATCTGGAATTATTACTGGAGGATGTGGACGATTATAAACTGCTTTTTTCAGATAGTTGCCAATCATTTTCAATGCAATAGTGCGCTCTCTGTTGATCATAAAAAACGATGATATAACTACTTTTACCCGAACGCCCTTATCTCACAATAATACAGATTTATTGTGAGGAGAGAATTGGGACTGTGGAAGGATAATCGATATGTCACTCAATCTCATGTAATCGAAAAATATAATAAAAATTATGGTCTGCATTGTTTCGTAATTGTATAAATATTTAGTACTTTATACAAATTCTGAAAAGCCAAATTATTAGGTTATTTTGTATAGTTATCATTAATACCAAATTAATTTTTAAAAAATCTCTCAATATAGGTACATTTCAGCATGGTAAACCTGGAAATACCGTCTTTTGCCGCCTTAAAACCTGGCCTCCGAGTTCTAAGACAGCCACAATTCAGCAGAGTGTAATGTCAAATTAAATGACTGATATCCTGACTGCAACATGCCTGTCAGTAATCGTGCTACAAAATAAAGTCACATACCTTCTTAAATTTTCACCTAAGAAAAGCAACAGAATCTTTACAATATACATGATGCTGCTATTCACATGGGAACTTCGCATTGAATTCAAGAGTATAGTCGAAACAATATTAAATTATTTCATGACATAAACCAAACTTTAAAATAATATGTGTATACGTAGTGTGAAATTATGAAATTGTTAAAAGTTTTGATATAAAAATTCTATTAATTGTTAAATTTGAAGTACTTGTATGCATGTAAAATAAATATTTTAAATTTAATTATGGGAAAAATTATTGATACTTCTATAAAACAAATAATTAAAAAAAAAATAAGAGTGTTAATAGAACACATCGATAAGTAAATAATTTACTTTCTTCAAATTATGCTTGATATTCTTAGATGTTTTTTTTATAAAATTAGAATTTATAATAAAATATAATTTGATATTAATAGTTGAAAAATAATCTACTTGGTCTACAAATAATACTGACAAGTACGAGCGCGCGCGCGCACACACACACACACACACACACACACACACACACACACACACACACACATATATATATATACAGGAGCACACACATACACATATATATATATAATTATATAATGATTCCTATCTCTCTTTTCTCTAATAAGAAGACATTAGGTGTATTTATTAATTGTCCCCACACATGTTACAAAGTGTGAAAATTTATTACAAGTAAGTAAAATAAACTTGCTTTATTGTTCCAGAAGAAGCTGCTTTCTTAGTTCAGTTTAAAAGGCAAGAGGAGATTTAGTTAATAGCTATTTTATATGCACCTTAGTTTTTAAATTTTTTACAGCAATACGATATAAATAAAAAATACTTTTGACTTAATAAGTAAAAAATTCTCGGAGCAATTTTTTTCTTTTATATGTTTCTAAGATTGACGATATTCGATGAAATACTACATGTTGTGGAGAAAACCTAATTTTTTAATCCATACTGAGTATCGGAGTGTTAAATATTAATTTCAAAGAGGTATACATGACTAACACACTAGAGGTTTACTCTTGAGTTTTATTAGTGAGAGTATATCAATGATATTGTTGTGAAATCTCAAAATTAATTTATTTTTATTTTGTATTCATTTTGTTATGGTTAATATTGTGTCTGCAAAATCTAACAGTCGTTGACGAATTATTATAATTGTCACAACGTCCAACAGAGGTGATGCCAATGATATTTTTTGAGTAAAGCGCCAATTGTTTCATTAAAATTGTGTCTTTTGTTGTTGATGTAATAATTAATATCAAAAAAATTATTAAGGACTTGCTAGTTTTACATGAAAGTATGGATATGGGTTAAGATAAGTATTTTCTAACAAATGCCCAGACAAGGGTATACCGTAGTTACAATTGAAATCACGCAAGGTCTGCAATATTTGAGTTTTTTTTTCCTGTTATGGGTATTTCAAATTTAATTTATAGAACACTCAATTACGAAATATGACAAATCCAACAATTTGTTACATATCATGTATCATAATATATCTCGGTTCTGAAATGAATGACAAATTTATCTCGTCAACCATCTGTGCAAGTTTAATGGTATAAAACTGCTATTAATATAGAGCAGAAAATAAACTACAACATTCATGTATTTTCTCTCCACAGAAAGTATATTTATACAGACATTGCAATTGAAATTTCACCACTGTGTATGTGTATTTTCTCACTATCAAAAAGCAAAATCGTAGATTCACTGTAATTGTAATTACACAATTTATGGACAGTTTTACTGTTTTAATGAGCATTTTTACCAACATCAGATTATGTTTTTTAACTGCGTCATGTTAATTTACTTACTTCGTATAAGTATATTTTTAATTTTCATATTATTGTACTCCGTTTCGTAACATAATTAAATGGTGTTTAAAATAAATTATTTTTTCAAAATCTGGGTAACAATTGAAAAAATGAAATAGGTTGTTATATGCAAAAAAAACGGTATATTCCATCAGCGGAAGTTAAGATTTATTTTTGAAACTACAAAATGAGTTCGAAGTAGTTCTACTCTCTTACGATATACAGCATGTTTTAAACAAATACTTGAAGATATATTTGAATTGACAGGAACATTAGTGAAAAATGACAAATAATTCACTGGTTTTAGCAAATTACACATAAATTTAAAAATTACCGAGAATTTGTATATGTAAACATATGCTCACAGATACTAAAGTAACGCAATTTTACACAGAGTTACTGTAAAATTACACAATTGAAGCTGTACAACTGTACTGACAATGGCTTACATTCGGTTTTCATACAACTACTATATAGAAGTGAAAAACCATAACTTAAGGTTTAAATATTAAGAGGTGTATTTT